TTCGTTTAATTATTATACGTGATGTACGTTTTTTTGGGGTGGTTGATAAAAGTGTTCCAAAACGCTACATTAATTTCTTGATGACCTAATATTTTCTCAAAGTTTCTGCGTTACAGTTGATAGATTTTTAAGAATTTATTGTAAGAAATATACGAAAATAAAGGTATTTCGTGATGTATGTAGTGATTAACACATGCCTTATCACATTACATAGTTGTTGTTGAAGAAAGTGATCCAAGATCCTAGGTAATATTTTAAATCTAGAAGTTTAAAAAAATCTGTTATCTTGCGTCTTGTAAATTTCTTTCTACTGTTGTTTTAGATATGTTGTCTGTAGTGCGAGACGTAATGCTTTTGTTTTTGTATTAAGATTAATATTGTGTATTTCAGTTGATATTTCGCAAAGTAGTTGAGTTGAAGAAAGAAAGGGAATTGGAAGACAGATGCCGAACCGAGCCCATGCAAGAGATTACCCAGGATCACCTTATGAGTAAGTTCTTCTCTCGCTTCAGGAGGAACGGTTCGGCTGGCAACCAGGTGGTCTCAATGGCAAGTCCAGATATGGAGAATGGAGAACGACCAAAGTCCAGTGGTAGTGAAATAGGACCACTCAAGAAAAATCACGCCTTTATTAAGCTATTGAATATTCCTGAGGTGTTGGGAAATAATATCGCTTCAGGAAGAGCTGCGAAATGGACACCGGCAATTGAACTCACCAAAACTAAAGGGATCGGTGGGGACAACAAAGAAAACCAGGGTGCTACAGAAAATTTAAGTTTTACTCAAACTGGTGAGATATTAGCCAAAAACACGGACTATCTACATGAGGTAAAAGACTCAAAAGTTTTAACAAAGTGGTCCAAAGCCTTACCGCACCAAGAGAGGTTCGAAGGAATAGCTGAACCTGGTCGTCAACAGGTATCTTATATAGACAATGAAAACAATAATTCTTCAAATATTAGTCCGGGATACAGTAAAAACTTCTTTCATCGGCAGGAACAGAAGGATGGGGGCAGACATTATAATTTTGAAAGTGGTCATTTTTCGTCACGTCCTTTTTCACCACGGAACTTGTCCAACTCGGACTACCAGCAGATAATTGCTCACCTTATGGATCTGCGAGTGGATCTGAAGCTAGAAGTCCAGCGGTTAAGTCAGAAAGTTACCAAAATGGAAGAAGGAATGACAGTAATTCTGGACCACATTCCGAAATGTGTTGCTACTTCAGAACAGTTCTCAACAATTAGAGGATGCCATTGCTCGGCTGACTCGAAACAGACGTGTGGAGAAATGAGTGCACAGGGAATGTCGGAACAGATATAGTTTTAAACAAACAAACAAAACAAGAGTTATAATCTTGAGATTAAATCTAAGACCCCTTCCCCGAGAAGCTCGCCCATAGAAATTGATGTAAGGGCTATGTTAGAGAATGAAATTGAAGAACACAAAATTACTCTTCCCCTTTTTTTTATTCTTCTGACAAATGTGCTTTAGACTAGAACATTATTTCCTAAATTAAAACAGAGGATATGAAGGAGTCAAATTTATAGCTATGTGTGTGTGTGTGCAGGACTGGGTTGCGATATTCGAGATATTGCAAACTGTAGATATGAAGGAATCAACTTTAAAAATATATGTACAAGATTTGATATCAACAGTTAAGATATTCCATCTGTGTATATGAAGGGTCAGATTTTAGGCAAGGCATGATTTCGATATTTTGAATATTCCAGCCAGAGTAAATGAAAGAATCAACTTTAGAGTTATGTGTCAAAGACGTGATGTAACATAGCCAACTATCATGTTCCAGGTCTTTCATCAGGATATGATAGTTGATGTTTGTTGTTGTTTTTTGTGAAAATGAAAGAGTTTTGTAGTGAATTTTGTTGGGTTTTTTTTGTGAAAATGAAAGAGTTTTGTAGTGGATTTTTTTGTGTGAAAATGAAATAATTTTGTAGTGGATTTTTTTTTGTGAAAATGAAAGAGTTTTGTTGTGGATTTTTTGTGAAAATGAAATAACTTTGTAGTGGATTTTGTTTTGTTTTTGTGAAAATAAAAGAGTTTTGTAGTGGATTTTTTTTCTTTGTGAAAATGAAAGAGTTTTATAGTGGATTTTTTTTGTGAAAATGAAAGAGTTTTGTAGTGGATTTTGTTTTTCAGGAAAACTAAGAGTTTTGTAGTGGCTTTTGTTTCTGCGAAAATGAAAGAGTTTTGTTGTGGATTATTCTATGCAGAACCAAACGTTGTTAGTTCTGATGATCAAACAACATCAGAAACATCAAACACGTGAGTTTACCAGGATGACGTAGACTCGTACTTTTTAATATAATATGTACGACCAGAGGTCACATTTTATTTATTTATTACAATTTATCATTGTTTGTTTGTTTGTTTTGAATTTCGCGCAAAGCTACACGAGAGCTATCTGCACTAGCTGTCCCTAATTTGGCAGTGTAAGACTAGACGGAAGGCAGCTAGTCATCACCACCCACCGCCAACTCTTGGGCTTCTCTTTTACCAACGAATAGTGGGATTGACCGTCACATTATAACGCCCCCACGGCTGAAAGGGCGAGCATGTTTGGCGGGACGGGGATTCGAATCCGCAACCCTTAAATTGCGAGTCGAGTACCCTAACCACCTGGCCATGCCGGGCCTACAATTTATCATAAAAAACATCTCAACGCCGTTAGAAGTAACTACTGAATATTCTTTTCTATATTTCACTTTAAACGTATCCTGTGACGACTATTCTATGATGCATTTATAAGTGTCTAGGATGTCCTCTTGTTCGAAAAATGGACAATGTCCAAAGATAATGGGGAAAAAAGTACAGAAATTCTGCCCGATCTCAATTTTCTCTTCTGCAACAAAAGTGTATGAAATGAACTAATTTCTACTCCACAATGGCTCAGCGGTGAACTTAGGGCTCATAACTCTGAAATTCAAAGTTAGATCCCTTCTGATGGATTAAGGTAGACAGTCAGTTGTGGAGCTTTTCACTTCAATAAAAAGCAAACAAACTCTAGTTTCAACAAGCTCTATATCGATGCAGTTTCACTTCCACGAAGTAATTGGTCCGCAGATCTACTTAACCATAATTTATGTATCCTTTGACGTTTGACATTTATATTTAAGCATGAAACCACTTTAATTTTAAACTAGTAACAAAACTTGATTTTTCTATAATTCTCTGAGATTTTAAAATCCGTGTTATTTTTCTGAATATACTGGACGACTTGGTTTGTTTGGAAGTTCGCGTAAGTCTACACGAGGGCTATCTGCGCTAGCCGTCCCTACTTTAGCAGTGAAAGACTAGAGGGAAGGCAGCTTGTCATCACCATCCACTGTCAAGTCTTGGGCTACTCTTTTACCAACGAATAGTGGGATTGACCGTCACATTATAACGCTCTCACGACTGAAAGAGCGAGTATGTTTGATGGGACGAGGAATCGCGAGTCGAGCGTCCTAACCACCTGGCCATGCCAGGCCTTACTGAAAGAATCAGCTAAAAATTCGTATCTCGGTCAACTACTCGATAGAATACGCAACATGTTGTTGTTGTTAAGCTCAAATCTACACAGTAGGATGTATATAAACCAGATTTTTAGCGTTATAAGCCCACGCGCTTACCGCTGAGCCACCGGAGGGCGCATTTTATAAAATAATAATAGTAATGCTCGGTTACATTTACAAACGCATTGAAATTTTAGCAAACTCAATGAAAAGCCCAATTTTCATGTATGTCCATGTGTGTTTGCTTTTATTAAGCAAACAAAAAAGAAGGAGAAAAGGTTAAATACAATTATTAAACCCTTGGCATGTTAGCAAAATGAGCAAATCTGAGTGTGTTGTATTTTTTCTTAATACAAAGCCACATCGGGCTATCTGCTGTATTCACCGAGGGGAATTGAACCCGTGATTCTACCGTTGTAAATCCGAAGACTTACCGCTGTCCCATCGGGGAACTGTAAATATAAGAATTATTTTATAAATTCTGGGTCTTCAATCTTGTCCCTGGTGGCACAGCTGCATGCTTGTGGAGTTGTAATACTAAAATCGTGGGTTCGATTATCCTAGATAAACACAACACAAATAACATAGATATTTGTACTTAACAACAAAACAAATATATGCAACTAACCCTTGAGAAGTTCTTTATACTGTAATTAAAAAATCTATGTTAGTCAGCTAACACATTCAAAGTCCTTTGTAGGTCTTAACCTATCATAATGATGCATAATTTACTTCTAATAATTCTTAATAAAGTTCGTGTACTTAATATATACATATGACCCTAGCAAGTCACTTTAATCGACTCCATAATTTTGTCTATTTATCTATTTGTTTGTAGTTAAGCATAAAGCTACACAGAGGGCTATCTGTGCTCTGCTCACCACGGGTATCGAAACCCGGATTCTAGCGTTGGAAGTCCACAGACATATCGCTGGGCCACTGGGGGCGCCTCCATAACGCTTCTAACTTTGAGAATTTTACGTTTAAAAATGAAATTGGTAAAATAACCAGCCGATTTCAGAGGTATCAGTTAAGAAATAAATTTATGAATAACACCCAAGAGTTTTCAATTCAGTAAGCTAAGTTCACGGCAACAACTGCGTCACGTAACTTTGTGCGAAATTCCAAACAAACCAAACCTAACAATTGTACCCTGGCGGAATTATTTGTAATTAAAAAATATCTTGCAGTAAAACGGCAGATGTTTAAATAAATCATAACTGTAAAATACTTACTAAAACGTACTCCGGAATCGCCACGATTTGATAATTGAATTAATTTAAATACAAACTACCTCAATGTTCGTTAGGGCCATCTAAACAAATGCATGAAGTAATAGTAAAAGGAACGTTTCGAAGTGACGCTCAAATCATTAGTGCAAAGTGGAAAAGCAACGTTGATGAATGTTAGAACTAACAGCAGTTTGTAACAAACGCTGACCTATAAACCACAAAAGCCTCACATTCTGGAAGAAAAAAACGTTTGGCTAATATTGTAGTCCAAAACAACAGAGCTGAGTACTCATAGCATAGAAAATGTTTTGGCGACAAAAATGCATCACAATATATTATGTTCGGAAAATAAATATCTTATTACGGTAGTTTACAAAGTGGAAGAACAGAGCGTATAATTAACCTGTGATGCTAGTTGCGAAAGGTAATGAAAATAATCCATTAAAAACAAAATAATATAAACTCACACATACATATGCATATAAAGAAAACCTTTTAAAAATAGAATCAGATGCTTATCGGAGTCGTTAAGTTACAAAAGTTACATAAATATAAATATAACTTCGCCCATGGCCAGGTGGTTAGGGCGCTCGACTCGCAATCTGAGGGTCGCGGGT